GAGAGAGAGAGAGAAAGAGAGAGACAGACCACGGCAATTTAAATAAATTAACCGAGCTCGAGCGTATCCAGTATCGATACTTTCACCGAGTTAAAGAAAAGGAAGGAAAAGGAGGACTCGAACAAATTTACGTGTTGGATAATTGCGATTAATGACGATATTTTTATTAACACTCGTAATTTTTATTTTTCTACTAATCAATAATTGTACAGATTGTGTCCAATTAATGTCAGATGATGTAAAATTAATTATCGTTCTGAACTGGGAAAGGACTGTGAACATTCTTTCTATATATACTAAATATACAATTGAACTTTCTTCGGAAATGTAACATTAATCAATAGAATAGAGTTAAATGTGAAGTTTATTATTTTTATTTCAATTCATGTTTAGATGAATTGAAATCAAAATAATAAACTTTACAACTCTCTTAATATTATATATAATTGATATATATTATATATAATATATTATATATAAAATTGATTAATTATTAATTAATTGGTTAATATAGAAAATAAACTAACGAGGCTTAAGAGTCACTTTATCGAGTTAAATATATTCACCCATGTTTATTAAATCAGATAATTACTTAAGAAGATCAAAGTACATTCGTTTTCACATTGCGCAATATCGTGCAATGTTTAATTTATCGCTCAAATTGTTACATCGACAGAATCCCACGTGATCCGATCCATGATACGATCTCGTGATATACTTCGATACCATACGGAAGATGTAAGGAAAGAAAACAAGGAGAAAATACGATCGTCTTAGAATTTTCCAAGTATATTGGAAGGAAACGTCACGCCGATACGTCACAACGATACTCGCCGAGACGATGTCTTACATCGTATTAGCAACAACAAAATCTTCACGTATTTTTTAGGCATAATATATCGATATAAGAAGGATAAGCTGTGTAATTATCAACAACGTTATGTAACAATTACTTCCTCTAGACGGTAATTTTGTTGAATAGATTTGTAAGACTCGTTGTAAAATCAATAGTACA